ACGGGCAAGATTAGTGCAATGCATATACAGGGTTCATTATAAAATTCCTTAAAATGATTACTATTACCTTGTAAAGTTGCAAAACCAACTTTTGCATCTTTTCAAAACCCTAAAGATTTATGGTTTACAAATATTTAAACTAAATAATAGTTATAACAAATGACTTAACACTGTTAATGAATAAAAAAGGTACATGTCTATTTTTACAACAACTGCAAGTTTTGGCAGGTAAAAAGAAGTGTGTATCTAAATACTCTTTAACTGTACTACATACAAAAAATAAAGTTGCTTTTTGTGCCAATTGCCGGGGCACAAAAAGCAACTTTATTTACAAAAAAATGTAAAGAAAGTCTTGTATAACTACCGAATAATAATATAACATTAAATTATAAACAATATTATACTTTTATTATTTAAAACATTTTTAATAATACTGTATTATTGCGTAATTAAAAAATACTATTTATACACACAGACAAAAATGCCAATGTATCCTGACATCATAAAACATGTGATAATATAAAGAAAATTTAAAAGATACATTGTAAATGTTTACATAAAAAAGAAAAATTGTTTTTAAAATACCATGCATACCTATAGCTAGAATTATATTAATCAACGCTTATGTTTTCAATTTCAATGAAACCAATAAAATTTTAGAAACTATAAACAAGTCACACTAAAATAAATAGTAATTTTCACTTTTAAAATAAAATAAACTAGTAAAAATATACAAACTAATATTAATTAATATAAAAAATCTAATAAATTACTGAAAAAAAAAAGAAAAAGAAAAAAACATTTTATTGGCAGTCTATATCTAATTGTATTAATATATATATATATATATATATATATATATATATATATATATATATATATATATATATATATATATATATATATATATATATTATACATATAACATAAATAATTACTAAACTAACCTAATAAAATTCAACTTGTTCGTACCCCTCTTACCACCCACTTACGGAAATCAGGAAAACAGAAATAAGGCACCAAAACTGCTCACCTTTATAGACTATCTGCTCAATAATATTTTTCAATGAAATTTGGTAGGTAGATAAAAAAAAACATGTAAAAAACTATCTGGGTAGGTTTGCAAACTATCTGAGCATTTCTTCGACAATAATTTAATGTGAGAACAACAACCAAGTTTTTAATACAAATAAAAGCAATACAAAAATTACCAACCACACATAAATGTTATATATTAATTAAGTTTAACTATTCTTTTTTTCAAAAATAATCTAAGTTTAGTAATGTTTCTAAACAGAAACGCCACAAAAAAACGTTCGCCTGACGCTACCTAAAGAAAAATTCAAAAAACCTGGCACAAAATTTTAGCACAAAATTCTGTTCCGTAAAACACGGATTTCCGCGTACCTAATATATGTATATTAGGGATGCAGCTTTTTGGTATCTCCAGTTTCCAATATAAAAAACAGACCTTTGATTACACACTAGGTCATATATATCAGTGAATATTTTTTTTTTCAAAAGTATATCAACCTGGGTCTCAATCAAACCAGAATTTCATAGAAATTTTAGAGATAATAACTGTTTTAAATGAAAACGAATGTTAAATTTTATATACAAAAAAACAACAATTTTTTACTAAAAATATTTTGCAATATTTTTTTTTTTTTAATGTTTCAGTAAAAAAAATTATGAATTTTGAAATCACTATAAAATTCTGATTCTTTTGAGACTCAGATTGTTACACTTTTGAAGAAGAAAAAATTCACTGGTATATGTAACTTATTTCAAAAATTAAATAAAACTATATATATATATATATATATATATATATATATATATATATATATATATATATATATATATATATATATATATATATATATATGTATATATATATATATATATATATATATATATATATATATATATATATATATATATATATATATATATATATATATATATATATATATATATATATAACTTGAAATATGTTTATGACCAATAAGTAAAAAAATTAGTCAACAAAATAAACAATAAACGAAATATTTTCTTCTTTTAATTTTACAAAAATTACTCTAATTATAAATTTTAGCACTAGAGGCCTTTCAAACAATCATCAGTAGTGCTGTTTTTTTTTATTATAACAACAAAATATAAGTTTTTAAAAAAAACAGGAAATGATAATTACTTAATGTTGCTATTAGCAACTATTGTAATCTATATGATAATGTCAATTAAAAGTATCATGTTTTTGGTTGTGAAAATGTTTCTCATAAGAAATTAGGTTTTTTTCATTTTTTAGCTCCACAAACACAAAAAGCTGGAAAAAAGGTTCTATAATGGAGTTATGCGCACGTTGACAATTGTATACATGGTCATCAAACCTATTTGTTGATTCAAAATGCAACAATAGCATTTAAAAAAACAGTACAATCACACTTGTATTGTTACAAATATTAAATCTTGTGTCAGCTTTTTTTTATTAAGTTAAGTAAAATTATATAACACACTGTAGTGTTATAGTGTACTCATTATTAAACAAAGTGTATACTACTTTAAATGTTTTTTTAAGTTTTCTTTTAAAAAAATCACAAGGAATAAAATCTTCATAGATTGAAATATGGTTTTATTAATAAACACGCTTTTGTAAATAACATACTGTCTGGTCATCCTGCTGGGTTACTGACAAGCATTTTTTTTTTTAATTTCAGTGGAGAAAACAAGTTGTCCCGTTCCACAGGACAATCATGAGGGTATACCCTGTATACCCTCATGATTACATAGCTACATAGCTTTTAAATAGCCCAATATATAGGTACTATATAACCTGCGAGCTATCTGCCTACTACATAGCTATTATACAATATGTTACAACATAACCTGTTATATAGCTACTACATTACCTGTTATATTGCCACTACATTGTCCGCTCATAGCTACTACATAGTTAGTTACATAGCTACTACATAGTATGTGGCTCGCAACATACCTACTGCATAAGCATGCAGCCTGTTACATGTCTATATAAAAATATATTATACAATTTATTTTAAATTACGCTAATTTTAGTGATGTAAAAACAACAATTGCAAAAGTAAAAAAAAAAACAATTTAATTAAACAATAATTTTAAATTAAATATATAACCTAAATAATAATAATTTTATATTAAATTATATCAAATCTAAATCTTATATATGTATCCTAAATATTATATATGTATCAACATCTTGGTACTCAACACCTATATATCAACATCTTGGTACTCCTTGCGATATTAAATCAAAAGTTGTACAAGTTAATTTGACATCAATTAATGTCAAATATAAATGCTATGGCGGGGTTTTTTTTCACTAAGTTTAAAGAGTGGCGGGATAGCTCAGATGGTTAGAGTGTAAAAGGAAAAGTTAAACCAGGACTGTTGAACGATACGAGTTCAAATCCCGCCATTGCCAACTCAGCCCTTGAGTAGTACTTCGGTACGCAAAAATGTTGGTCAATAACGGACGCTACTTTGGTTTAGTCTTAATGACTATTTATGGCTGTTCCTATGCTAAGCCAACAATATCTTCGGATAAAAGAACATTGTATAGAAAAATATAGCATGAAAACTCAAATAAATAAAAAATATATATATAAAAAAAGTTCATTTTTTAGTTTTTCTTTTATATTTTTATATGTGAGTGTGTGTGTTTGTTTAGACATTGTCTGATGTCAAGCTAAAATAGCTCGCTACTGGGGGCTTCAGTACATATGTCAACTATCTTATAGCCTGCTGCCACAAAGGAATGCCGCTACATCAACTTAAGGTTTTTGATAAGGTAGCAATCTTTTCTTTTATTCTTCTTTTTTTTTCTTTTTCTGAAAAAACCTATACTATAAAGATATGCAAAACTGGTAAGCAATTGCTGATCTATATACGCTATAGTAGATATATAATAATAATAATGATAATTATATTTTAGATCCTTTAAATATATATTTTTACTACTTTCAAGTTTCTCTTAAAATAACTGAAAACAAAATGGTTGTCAATAAAAGCAATAAGATTATTATTGAAGACTTTACAGTGTTAACAATAATAAAATGAAATAAAAATATGGCTTATGAAAATAAAAATATGGCTTATGAAAATAAAAAAAGTGACTTCAAATGAAATAAAAAAATCTCAGCAATTCAATTAGCTAGATTTAGGCTCCAGCAAATTGTGTGGTTTATTTGTACATTTTGAACTTTAAACCTAATGAAATAACTAAATTATTTGATTGGGGTTCAGGGGTTTGCTTATAAAATGATGACCAAAAAAAGAATACATGAAATAACATAAAAGCAAATCCAGTGAAGTGATATTAAAGGTTGTTAAGGTATACAGGTATGATGGTGTGATGAATAGGTTTGTTTCTGTCTAGACATCTTTTATGGTCTAGTCATGTTTTTGTTCACTTTCAAATCAGGTGAATCAAAAACTAAACATACTTCTTGCTTCTATGTGCTAACACATCAGGGACCTGAGGCGTAAGACCTACAAAAAAAATTTCAATTGATCAAATCCGCATGTTTTCTGTGTCTTAAATAGGAGGTTACAACAGTTTTTTCATTATATAGTGTCTAGTTTCTTAGAGTACAGCAAAAGCGAAATATTTTTTATTGCTTTTGATTAAAATGAGTCAATACTGTAGATAGCAACTATTAGACAAACTGTTTAAATAACCATCACAATTGTTTAAATAAACATTATGTTTATTTAAATAAACATCATATTTGTTTAAATAAACATCATATTTGTTTAAATAAACATCATAACTGTTTTAATATACATCTTAATTGTTTTAATAAACAACATAATTGTTTAAATAAACATCATAATTGTTTAAATAAATGTAATTGTTTTAAAAAATATTATTATAGTTTGAATGATAAAACTATATAGCTTAGGAATAAGACAATAAATAAAATTTTTTAAATTTTATGAGATTTTCTTTTAATTCTAATTAGTATGGCTCCAATGACAAAAGAAGAGTTTGACAAACAACAGTCTGTTGTTAGACGAGTGTATGATGCAGCAACAGGAAGACATAGGTAAAGTTGAAACTTATAAGTATTATGTTCTTTCATAGTTATGTTTTTATTGCTATTGATAAAGTTATGTAAGTACCAGGATAATTGATGTATATTAATATTAGGGGTGTACTAGAATGGAAATTTTAAAATCCTGCTGGAACTAGATTTGCTGGAATTGTCAATAAAATTCCATCTAGAACAAGAATTATATTTATGTTATTTTTTACCTTCAAGATAAAGCATCATGACTATATAATATATATTTATAACCTATAATATATATATATATATATATATATATATATATATATATATATATATATATATATATATATATATATATATATATATACACAGTCGACTCTCGATATCTCGAACACTAAGAGGACCGGAAAAAAAGTTCGAGATATCGAGAGTTCGAGATATCAAGAAAAGGGTTGAAAATAAATAAAATTGCCCGACTTTCATTAAAACAAGTTATTTTTCTGACAAAAATCATTAACAACAAAAACTACAACTTTTGGAAAAAATCTGTTATCTGATATTGCTTTAAATTATCCATCTTTTCCATCATTTCAAAAGCAATTTCTAATTGAATATCAGATGGCCGTGGCGGGGCTTCAATGCAATAGCTTCGTCAATGCTATCTTCAACTTCATTATCGTCGTTTTCAAAATTAGGATCTAAAATCTGAGCAATGATTTCAGCATCAGTAGCAAGTGAACCGGTGATTACTACATCGCAATCTAAACCAATGTAAGATTCTGTTGAGAGATCTTCTTGGAAAGCACGAGGATCTAACTCTCGCAAACAGTTAAGTTCTTCTGTCAAAAATTTAAAAGGATGATCATCATCAGCTTCTTCATTACTCTTGTTTGTTTTGCTGATACCAGCTTTTTTAAAGCAGTTGATGACAGTCTCCTTCGACACAGCATTCCACGAAGAAACAAGATCTTTCATTGCTTGAAGTATAGAAATTTTGGGCATGGGTTCGTTATTATCGACAGCCTTGATACACAAACGCACAATTTTGTGACGATAATGAGATTTAAGACTTCGTATTATGCCTTGATCCATGGGCTGAAGGACAGATGTGGTGTTAGGGGGGAAAAATATTAGGTTTGTTGCTTAGCCCTTCAATGTGTGGGTGATGTTGCTTAGCCCTTCAATGTGTGGGTGGGCAGAACAGTTATCCACCAGGAGTGCTACTTTCCTGTCTTGAGCACGAAAAAATGAGTCAAGTTTCATTACCCATTCTGTAAAAAGGTCTCCGGTCATCCAACTTTTAAGCTGATTTTTATATGTGCAAGGAAGTTTTTTAATGTACTTAAAACACCGTGGGTTTTTAGATTTTCCAATAACAAACATAGGTAATTTTTCTCCTGTTGCACTCCCTGCTGCTATGCCTGTTAGTCTAACTTTACTATTTTTTTCCCCAAAACATTTTTCTCGTGATAAATGCTATGTTTTGTTTGGTAGGCACTGGTAAAATATCCAAACTCATTGGCATTAAAAATGTTTTAAAGTTTGTAATTCAAAAACAATGTTGGAAGTGTAGTTTCATTCCACGAAGCAGTCATATTATTCGTCACGGCGGCACTTTCGCCTGAGATTATTTTAAAGCTGATGCCGTTCCTGATGCTTTAAAACCCAACTCTCCTAAGCGAATTTTAGTGCCTTTTCTTTTAGTATGGTACCATCAATTGGTACTTGTTAACTTCTTTTTGCAACAAACCACGTGTATATGGCCTTGTCTACATTTTTGAAATTACCACTACGAAGTTTCTTCCGTTTAGATTTTGTGCCATTTTTTTCCAGTGAGGTTAATAACTTGGTTTTATTTTTAATCCAGGTTGATAATGTGTTCTTTGGGACTCCATACTTTTTGGCAACCTCTTTTTTAGACATCCCTGTCTCTAGGTCTTTTAATGCCTTGCATTTTTCTATTATAGATTTGTTCGTGAGTTTTCGTTTAACGAGATATCAGCTGTATATATATATATATATATATATATATATATATATATATATATATATATATATATATATATATATATATTAAATTATATATATATATATATATATATAATATATATATATATAAATTATATATATATATATATATATATATATATATATATATATATATATATATATATATATATATATATATATATATATATATATATATATATATATATATATATATATATATATATATACAAGTTCTGGCTGGAATGGAATACTGTACATCACTAACTAATATGCTTTTTCAAACTTTTATAAAGTATAATATAAATATGTATGATATTAAATATAAAACAAGTATTTTTTTAATAAAATAATATTTAACTTATAAGCAGAGTGTATTACAATGTATAAGCAGAGTGTATTACAATTAGTTTCAGTAACTTTTTTTTTAATATTTAAGTTGACTAAAGTTAATTTTTAATTCAATTTTTATTATAGTTGATTCTTTAAATCAGGTTAATAAAAGGCGATGGTGAGGTAATAGAAGAGATTGTCAGTTATTCACGTCACAAACAGATCAATAAGGTATAAAAAATGTTTACAAATATTTTTATAGTGAAGTTACTTATTATAATTAAGTATTAAATTTGTCATCACCAACATTAAGACAGTTGCATATTGGTCAGTTATCATCACCAACATTAAGTTAACATTAATCTTAGAATTACAAGAACCAAAATAATTTAGATGATATATTTTATATGTTATTTTAGAATTCAAAATAATGTAGGTAAAATATTGTATATGTTATTTTAGAATTCAAAATAATGTAGATAATATATTGTATATGTTATTTTTATTAACAAAAAGTTGCAGTTTTAAAATAAAAACTGATCCACAAATAGTTTTTATGTTTAAAGAATACTTTATTATTTAGATGTCAACTCAAATGGATGGAAAATCATTTGCTGCATCCATTGGAATTTAAATTTTCTAAAAATATTTAGATATTAGGAGAAGTCATATGTATATATTCATACATATTTGCACATAATAATTATTACATAAATATTATATTAATCATGTTTATTATTTTTATTGATATCTCAATTTTATTTTTCATTGTACACAATAATAAACTATTACTTTTTTAAGTATTGTTTTTTTTAAGTACTTTTTTATACTTTTTAAGTATTAAGTATTGAATTATATAACTGGTACATCTAATCTCATGTTACTGAGTTTGAAACCTTTCAACCTTAAACTAGCATTTTTGTGTAATGCATTAATTGTGCATCATTCAGAAATAATTATGTAAAAATAAGTAATGGTACCTGAAGCAATAATAAATATTTTTAAATGTTTGTAAAGCAATAGTTTTACAAACATAAAAAAAACTTTTTGTTTGTAAAACTTGTTTTTAAAGTTTTTAATTTAAACAATTTTCTAAACTAGGAGGTGTTTGTTGCTTATTTGGGACAAAGGGGTGTTTAATGCTTATTTTTGAAAATAGGGGGTATTTGATGCTTATTTTTCAAAATGAACATTTGGTGCACTTTTAGTATCTGCAAGTTCTATGATTATATTTTATAGGAGTTTAACTTTTTATTTTTATTTAAGTTATATTTTTTATATTCAAAATATATTTTTTATATCTTAGATTCTTTTATAAAAAATATGAATAAAGTAAATCTTCTTGAAAAGTTAAGAACATTACAACAATGGCAAATACAACAACAACAAAATTTTTCAAGTAATCATTCTAACAAAATAGTTTTAAATTGTGATCAACAAGATGTTTCAAGAAGCTGTTCAAACACTTTAAACCAACAATTAATAAAAAATGATTCAAAATCATTTCATGAAAGAGTGAATACTAATATCAGTAATCAGTTTTTTAAGAACAATCCATTAGATAGTAAAAGTGATCCTTCTAAAGATGAACTTTGTAGAAATGATTTTGCATCTAGTGAACATTTTTTAGCAGATTTAAACTCAACAAGCACCCCATCAAAAAATGTGTTTTCTTTTCCTGTTTCCAGTAAAAATTTTGGCAGTGATTCTGAGGATGGCTTAAGTGATTTTAATATCAATGATGAAGACTTTAAATTAGATGGAGTAGAACCAATAAATGACTACACACCTTATGATGCAGATAAAATAACTGTAGTTGAACAAGTAAAGGTATATTGTCTGCAATAAAATAATTTTGCAACATTTTGTTTTGTTTTTTCATTTTTTTTTTCTTTGCTTTTATTTTATTTATACTTTAATTTAGAATTCAGATGAAATAAAAGATGAAATACCCATAAAAGCTGGTTGCAAAGGTTTGTTAAATATATTTTTGCTTTTGTAATTCTCCTTTCTCATTTTATAACTCTAAAAAAAAATTAAGAAATTAAAAACGAGACTTACATACCAAGGATAACCTTATTGAAAATACATACTAGTTTACCTCCAAACACGATGTCTCTTTGGGGTTTTTACTGGGGGTTTACTGTTTTTTAAAAATATTTATGTGCAGAGATTTAGGGATGAGAAAGGGTGTGCCCTTTTATATTAATTTGCATGAGTCATCCAACTGTAATGAGGTATAGTTGCATGAACAAAAATTATGGAAAAGTTTAAATCTTTTTCAATTTTTTTGGTTCAGGCACGTTTACTAATATATAACAATTTACTAATTACTGTTGGAATTTTTTTTACTGAAGCTAACTGTTAAACACAATTTACTGATGGCTGCTGCTGGAATCGTTTTACTGATGGCTGCTGCTGGAATCATTTTACTGATGGCTCTGCTGGAATCATTTTACTGATGATAACTATAGAGCACATTTTAAAATTTCATAGCTGTTTTTTTTTTTTTCTAAAGCTTTTAGAGAAAATATATTCTCTAAAATTAAATTTAAATTTAATAAATTCCTTTTTGTTTAATTTCAAAAATAAATTAAAAAGCCTGTAATAAAAGTCTTTAATTTAGTAAGTTTAGTAGTTTAGTACTTTTGTTATTTTAATACAATTAGTTCTATTAAGCAAGCTGATCTATTAATTAGGTGGTTCTATTAAATAGGTTGTTCTATTGAATAAGCTGATCTATTGAATAAGCTGACCTATTGGGTTCTTGAATTTAAAGAAAGTGTTAGCTTTCCAAAAAATACTATAAAAAATTTTTTTAAATAGATTGTTGAAAAAAGATCTCTTTAAAGTTATCTCTTTAAAAAATGTGTAATAAAAATAATGGTTTTAAGATTTTTTAATTTATGTTTTTTAAATTTTTTCAAAACTTAAGGTATCTTCTATTCCAAATTAAACTCAACTTATGTTATTTTTAATTCAAATAATTTTTGTTAAATCCAATGAAAGCAAAATATTGAGAATTAAATGTCTTGAGCTGTCATCCTTGATAAAGTTGCTTCCAGAGTTGTCACTCTTTTTTTTTAATAAAATCTATTATTTGAATATCTACAGATTTTTGCAGTTGAGCTGGAGACATGAGTTATGCTATTGAATAAAATTTAATTATTGAATAAATTTTGCTGATAACTGGACAGATATTACTGATAAATACTGTTGGATTTGTTTTACTGATAATAACTGTTGGACTTGTTTTTAATAACTGTTGTATAAACATTAGTAATGACAATAGTTGATATTGCAATTAATGTTTAAACAAATCTTGAATTTAGATCATGAAATTCTATTTGAAGAAGACAGAGAAAGAGCTTCGGTAATGATTTTGGTGATTTACTTTTGGTGATTTAATTACAAGAAAATAGAAAAAAATAGAAAGGTGAAGTTTTAATTAATTATCTTAAACATGATTATTTATACAAAAAAGATTGTTGACATGTTTTAATTTTTTTTAGTTTGTTATGAAACCTCAAACAGTTAAAACAAAGTTTAATTTTCTGAAACGCGGAGAAGGACTAAAAAGATTTCATAAAGAAAATGCTTTAAATAGAAATAAAAAAATACATGTTCAAATAAACAATCAAAACAAAAATGATTTACCTAACAAAAACATAAAAACTGTTGGATTGCCTCTAAAGCTTAAAGAACCTATTCAAGATGTAAAAACTGTTGGATTGCCTCTAAAGCTTAAAGAACCTATTCAAGATGTAAAAACTGTTGGATTGCCTCTAAAGCTTAAAGAACCTATTCAAGATGTAAAAACTGTTGGATTGCCTCTAAAGCTTCAAGATGTAAAAAATAAGGATTCTTCTAGAGACTCTCAAGATACAAATTTACTGTCCGTAAACAACCACAGTTTATTTAAAGAAAACACAACTGTATCAGTATCAGTTAACAAGTTAGAAAAAACAGGGTATTTCTGAAAATAATATCTTTTAACAAAACTTTTTCTTTATACTTATTTTTATGTTATTTTGTCATTAGTTTTTTAGTCATTAATATTATTATTATTGTTTGTATTTTATTTTAGTTTGGATAAAGCTCCTTTTTTGCAAATAGTTTCTCATGCAAGGATTTTAGAAGCAAATAATTCTGAATCAAACATTTATCACAACTATTTAGACCTAAATTCAGATAAAGTAAAAAAATCATTTTTTTTTTTCTTAATTCGATTATTTCAAATCTTGTTTTTGTTTTTCAAATTTTTTCTTTAAAGATTTTAGAAGAGCTATTAGCATTTGAAGAGCTTGAAGAAGCTGCAGAAAATCTTTCTTTATCGTCAAATTGTTCTGTTGTTCAAAGGTTGCTTGGCAAACACAAATTTAAAAAAGGTTTTATAACATTTAACCACTTTTAAAATGAATATATTTATTTTTAAAATATATTTAATAACTATAATCAATAAAATAAAGAACTTGAAAACTGTGTTTGAAAGTTAAATCGTTTAATTTTAAATATTACACAGTTAGTATTACAATTTTATTGTTTATAAATAATAATAATAAAAATAATAATAAAAATACAATAGAATCTTTTTTTTAATAATATGAGGTTTTAATGACTTATAGGTGAATTTTCTATTATTAAAAATAATGCTGAAGTAGTAAGTTCAAGTTGTGAAATCGGACATAAGCATGAAATACAGCCATCCCTACATAATAGTCATGAAAGGCTTTCTTTGCATAATAGTCAAGAAATACATCCTTTAGAGTTTTTTGATGAAGAAAGCTGGTCTGATGCAAGTAAAATATCAGAAAATTTAAATGAAACCCTAGTAGATGACAATTTGATTGAAAATTCAATAAAGCCAAAAAGATTTGTTTGTAAGCGTAAAGAAACAAGAAATGATATTGAAAGTAATATTGAAGAAAGATATGTTTCCAAGCATAAAGAAACTAAAATTGAAGAAATTGATCAATTTGAGGTGTGTTTTTTATTTTTTCTAATCTTTCAGCTTTTTAAATGTTTTTTTGCTCTACTTACTTAAAAATATTATTGACTCATTTTTTTTTTCTTGATTACTAATTTACAACCACAGAGCTATTAAAATTATATATATATAAATATACAGTTCATGTGATGAATAAAATTTCCAAGTGTGATATTTTGCGCTTGTAAAACTGAAACTTCAAGAGTGATATTCAGAGTTGGATTTTTTTTTTGAATTTTTTTCATGTAAAGTCCGGGAAATCAGATGAAAAAGGTCCTGGTAACCCAACTTTGAAGATATTTATATTTTGTCAGACTTAATAAATTAGCAAAGCTCTCCATGTGTCAGACTTTTCAAAAATGTCTGACTTATGGAGGTTAGGAGACTTATTGTTATGAATTTTTCTGTTGTATTTCTAATTTTAAGTTTTGTTTAGCTTCAACTTTTTGAATAAATAAGCTTAACTGATTCGAAGATATCAGTGAAAATATTTAGTTTGTTAAATTATATTTGACACGAAAATATTTGATATTCCAATGTTTTGAATTTTATTTAATGTTTTTGAATTTTGAATATAATAGTCATTAATTAATAGAATGTGATCGAACCTGTACAAAATCAAAGCTATAAGTGAAGTTTCAGTTTGATAAATTGTATTTTGCTAGATATTTAATTTTTAAATATTTAAGTTAGGAATTTTTATTGAAGTTTTGATATTTTATTACGTTTTTTTTAGGATGCAATTATTTTACATTTTATGCAATTCAAAGTAAAAGTTAAGTGAATTTTTTTGTCAAATGAACTTAAAAAAACTGTACAAGTTAGCGAATGGTTCAACTTAAACAGGGTATGATTAAGCGGATAATATGATAAAGTTCAACTGGAATTTAGAAAAAAGCATGCTGAATTTAGCTTTCAAATAGAAGAAATAAAACATTGGCTTTCTTGCACTGAGATTTTTAGTTTTAGTTTATAATGCATAAATTAAAAATCAAAGTACGTCATGCATAATTTATGAGTGACGTACTTCATTACAAGTATAACTTCTTTGTTAAACATTATCCAAACTTTACTGTTAAAACATATTTTCACTTCAACAAAAATTTTTAACCAAAAATGTTTTCTATAAAATCAACTTATAATTTTCTCCCTCACAAGTTCTTCAGACGAGTGCAATTTTTTACTCTTGTAACAAAACTAGCGAGCGTTATTTGTTGTGCACCAGAAAGTCATTTACATGTGTATTTCACATGCATGGAGCAATCATTTCCGCTTCATCACAAGGTCTGTATATATATATATGTATGTATATACTAGTAAAAAAGCCTGTGCAATTATGGCAAGAAACAGTTGATGTTTTCAATTAGATTATATAATTTTTATTCTTTCTAGGATATAATTACTACAGCCTGCTACATAGCTTTAAAATAGCCGGATTTTCAAGTACAACAGCCCGCAGGTTACCGGCCCATTATATAGCTATACAATATGCTATATCATAACACGTTATAAAGCTACTACATAACTTTTTATATTGCTACTATATAGCATACTCAAAGCTACTACGTAGCCTGTGTTCCGCAATGCAACTACTACAAAAGTAGTTGAAAAAAAAGTAGTTGAAAAAAAGCAGCCTGCTACATACTTATGTAGTAGCTATGAAAAAACAAAATAACCCGCTACATGCCTACCAATATAAAATATATAATACAATATGTTTTAAATAAATTTTTATAAAATATTTGATTATTATATAACCTGTTATATAGCTACAACATAGCCCATTCATAAATACTGCATAGCTACTACCTAAGCATGTAACCAGCTACATAGCTAAATATAAAATATAATAATACAATATGTGCTAAACAAATTCAAGTAAAATATATTATGCTAATATATAGTGATGTAAAAATGTAAATGCAAAAAAAATTTTAAACAAAAAAAAAATTTAAATTAAATGTATTACCTGATTTTGGATATTTTGGATATTTTGACTATATATTTAACATAATAATACAATATGTGCTTAACAAATTCAAATAAATTATATTACCCTAATATATACGGAAAAAAAAACTAACAGTTCTATTTGTGTTAATAAGGGTAATATATATATATATATATATATATATATATATATATATATATATATATATATATATATATATATATATATATATATATATATATATATATATATTAAAAGTTCAGTACCAGAGATAACCCACTGTTATTAAGGGTGGTAGCTCTCTCTACAGAAATTATCAAAGATATGGAAATCCTTCAAGCGGAAAACTGGCCAAAACTTGGATCAGGAAACCATAGCGAATTAACTAGAGCATTACACTCTTGGTGTGGAAAAATAGCATTGCTGGTTTCTTCTCTTATTACAAGAGTAGATTCCTTAGAAGCAGAATAGTTATTAAAATGTAGTGCTGTACCAGTTAAAAGTAAGTTGTATTCTGAAGCTATTAAATCAAGCTCGCAAAACGCTGTACATTTGCATCACCGTCTCATTAATTTTGTTGCAGCAAATATTGATGACAGGAAAACAGGTACATTCAATGTTATCATTGTTGGCATGTTCAAATCATCAAATGATGATGATACATCAAATGCCTCTGAATTTTTTAAATTTAATTTAGAATCTAAAGCAGGTGGAGTTATGACAATAGTCAATCCCAACTACATAAATACTATCCAGGAGCTATCCCCCAAGCCTATATTAAGCCAACCCTGGCAAACTACTGAATCCCTAAAGAAACATGGAAACTTTGAATTAGTTTTTGCTAGAACTCGCCCATATAGATTACCACGTGGATACACATGTGTCCTAATGGCTGCCGTTTATATACCAGAATGACAACCAAGTCATCAGAAGAGCTCCATCTCGCAGCTCTAGTACTTTCTAGAAGATCCAGTAGCCAAATGTTCCAGCACCAATCCACCTTTAATTTATATAGCCTGGTGACTTTAATGGAAGCGATGTCAAGCCACTATGCAAGAAGTACCACTTATGGCAAATAAACCATGACCCAACTTGAGTAACAGCATCTAAATTGTCTTGTCTTGACATTATACTAACAAATGCTCCTAGGTGTTATATTTCTGAAACTCTAAAACCAATGGGCTGATTCTCCTATTGATCAAGACTCCAAAGCTAATATCTTATTATATAAGTATGAATTCCAGAAATGCCAGTGATCACAATTTTGTCATCCCCCCCCCCCCTCCTCAATGTATGTATAAAAACACTCAGCCAGAACGCTGTAATTGATGCACAAAATGTACATCAGCCTTTGCGTATAATTAATGTATGCGGTAACCAAGAATGGATGACTGCAGATATCCTTCGCTGCATAAAACAACGCCAATGTTTACACAAAGCTGGTCTTTATGGCCAATGTAACACCTTGGCTGGTATTATTGCTGGACTTATTGCTATCCGGAAAGCATCTTACTACAGAAATAAATATAAATATGCCAATAGTAAGAATAATATGTGGTCACATGCCCGCAGACTATCAATCCCAATACGCAGTTTACCCTCAGATACTGAATTTTGTGCAAAACTAAATGTGCAATTTTCAGATATAGTTTGGCAAAGAATTATTAAGCCAGATATATCACCTTTTCAAAACAATTGCCTCTCCACCAGTATTGCCTATTTTCACCTTCTCTAACGTCAGTGAACAACTCAAATGCCTCAAATTTAAACCAGCCAGTCATGATAGCATATCTGGCAAATTACTGTATTGGGCACGTCTTGAACTAGTTGAAGCCTTGTTATAACTTTTAACCATTGTATAACAAATGCATTGTACCATCTGAATGGCTTTATGCAAACATTGTACATATTCCAAAAGTCAATAATTCTTTTCTACCATCTGACTACCGACCGATCTCTATAACATCTGCATCTCTATAACATGCAAAATAGTTGAACGCATCCTTGCAAAACATTTTTTATTATATGTTCAAGATAAAAATTGTCAAATAGCCAATTTGGTTTTCTTCCTGGTTGAATTACAATTGATGCCATCATACAAGTAATTGATGACTGGAGATACGCTATTGACCGCAATACCTCTTTAACTGCTATATTCTTTGATTTTTTAAAAGCATTCAACCTTGTTGACCACATTATCCTTATGCACAAACTTGAAATCAACCTCCCATCATGGTTATTATCCTGGATTGCAAAGTGGCTTTCAAACCATAAACAACATGTTATATTCAACAGCAAGCCTACTGAATGGAAAGATGTTTTATCAGGAATGATAAAAGGAAGCGTCCTTGGCCTGATCCTCATTTTAATCTAAGTACTAGACATAAATGACTACCTCCCGAAAGGCGTTACACACAAGAAGTATGCATATTATATCCTAGCTTACATAGCTGGTAATAACTCTTTCCTTTCATAAGAAGTCTGCAACAATGGTGCAATAATAATAAAATGTTTCTCAACATAGCCAAATCTAAAGTTATTTATATTGGCAGAGGTGAAAAGCCAGTCATAACATTAAAAAGCGAAATTCTTGAAGTTGTAAACTCATACAAATACCTTGGCATCAACCTCAACTCAAGACTCAATTTTGACAAGCACTGGTCTAGTCTACATAAGAAAATTGCCCCTAATGTGTATCTTTTTAAGCAGCTCCAAATATTTGGTGGACAGTCTCAACCCATGCTTATATCTGCCTACCGCATTTATTGCCTTAGCCACTATATTAATGCAGTTATCCTCTCCTCAATGACCAATAAAACTAAATCTAGGATGCAAGTCTTTCAAAACTGCCTTCTAAAAACTGCTGCTAAAAACTGGCAATCTTTTAAAACAAAAGGTAAATTAAAATCTGATGGAGCCAACTGAATTCAAGGAACAAATACCCATTTAGAAGCAGAAACACCTATCAAAACCTCTGCATCAATATAATTATTTTTAAGAGCACAAACTTTCATTTATAGTTTCGTGCCCAATTATCCACTTT